ATATACGTTTTCAAGACTTTTCAAGACCGTTTTGAAAACGGTCATTTTGAGCAAAACAATTTTCAATACTGTCCAAGAAGCAGCTTAAGTCAAAATGTCAAAACTACAATAAACCTTTATACTTAGATATTACAAAATGTCTATGTCATTAGAGAGGAGAGAAACAAAATTTCTATGTTATTAGAGAGGAGTTAAGAAGGACATCAAACCATGTCTTCACCATGCATGTCAGAACTCATCATCTCAATACCGTGGTTTGGCTCAAGAGTAGCAAACTCCATATCAATAGCAACCTCATCAACACGACGAACATGAACCCTCATCCTGTCAGGCACAAGTGTAGAAATTCCGTCAGGCACAAGCGTAGGAATCTCAGAGGGAGACGTACTAAATTTGGCAGCTGTAATAGCCAATATATTGCGAAGAGACAGCAAAACAAAAGTGGCACATGCATAAGGGCAAAAAAACCGAAACTGAAGGTCTTTGAAGTAGGTAAATGACAGGCCAAAAGTCACGCCAAGGATACTGCCAAGTATATCAAAATCTTCTCCTAAATGCAGAAACACCATGGTTATGGTACAATGAAAAAAAAGAAAGCTAAAACCAAGGTGATCCACCATAATGCATTGTGAAAACCAGCAATCCATTCTTGGAAATATCCCAAACCATATATAACTACAGTTTGCACGAAAGATTTAAGAATGGCAATCTGATGCGGAATTCTTTCTCCTACACGAGTATGTTTTATGTTCCTCGATCTATATATCAAAATCGACATAAAAATACCCTCAACAAAGCCAAGCAATACTGCAGCAGCATACAACAGCTTAAACAGAAATGAAAGATCCTTAAGATTCTGTTGACCAAAACAGATCTTAAACGCTGCAACAAAGCCAGTTACGAGACTTACCCAAAGCACAACATAAGAAACAGAGATGGTCCTCACTACCCAGTTTGAAAACAAACTAGAAATCATCTCTATGAAATCTAAGGCACGAGCAAGGATGATTCTAAGTCCCCAAGAGATTAGTAGCACAAACAGACCAGCAATACGACCAACAACAAGTCTAAGTCCCCAAAAGATTTGCACAAACAGACCTGCAATACGACCAACAACAAGCTCGATAAACAGCAGGACGATTCCCCGAATCACCTCCCAAGCGAAAACAACCAAACCAACAAAGCGAACACCCAATAGAGAAATGCAACCCCAAAATAAAGTCATCAAAATAGAGAGATTGTTTGAAAAAACTTTACAAGATTATGAAATACTAATTAACAAGATTATAGAAAACTCTTGAAAACTCTCTAGCAATAGTTTAAAATCTTTCATTTGCTTATTTTCTATGATTTTATTAAAGTCATCAAAATTCCATGTAAATTAGAAACCAATAAATCCCTCTTACAAATTTGTTTTACTAATAAACATGGAAATACAGTGAAATTTAATTAATATTGAAATTAGATTAACAAATTTAGTATTAATTCTATTAAGCATTTTATGTTTCAATCATCATCCTTTTATCAATAAATTTTATTGCACATTTCAAGTTCGTGACTAATAAACAATATTAACAAAGAAGTATCAACATAAACAATATCAACAAAAACATTAATAGTATGATCAACTTACTAACAAATAGTACCACCATAAACAGTATCAACTTGATTAGGATTGTGGTCATCTTTATTAGAATAAACAATATCACCATAAACAGTATCAACTTTATATGGATTGTTATCAACTTCAATAGGATATCTAATTGTGTTCAATCTCACATTTTGAGACAAAACATTTACAATATCCAAAATTGAATATCAATTGAAAACATAGATCAAAAATAGTAACTATCACCATCTACTCAGCAGAGATGAATCCAATCATATAGAAAGAAACAAATTGATTAACAGATTCATAATCATAAATTACGTAAGTATCAAAAACCACTAAACAAAAAAAAAATTCTACTAGAAAATTACATTTCCACAAAAGCAATGATCACATTCATATTGAATATCAATGATCATCTCATCTTCTTCAAGAAGGGCAAGCCAACGCAACAGCCGCCATTTTCACGGTAGTCACAAAAAGATGTTTTAAAGGAGAGTTACATGTAACTAGGTCACAACAAAACGAATATGAACGACCCAAAACAAAATTCATTTAATAAACAAATCGCATTAAAAATCGAGATGCATTATATGTACGGAAGGTCCATTAGATTTGCTTCAGAATTTTGAAGCAAATAAAAAAAATTGGCGATCCAACTAGCATTTATTTTTCAAAAATAGCCTAAGATGAATGACAAATAGTGGAAAAAAAAATAATTGTTGATGAAACAAAAAATAATAATTAAAAACACATAAACAAGGGATAAAATTGAAGAAAAGATATGAAGCCCCAAATAAAATAAGTCTTGATAGGAAAATTGTTTCATAGAATTGAAACAAATTATTGGTCATCTCTAAGATTTGAAAAACCAATAAACAATTGTCAAAAGATAAACAAAATGATTCAATCAAACAAAAACACTGGAAAAAAATTGAGGATGAAACAAAACCAATAATTCAAAACACAAACAAGGAAAAAAATGAAGTATATATCCGAAATAATGTAAGATTCTTGATAATATGAAAGAAAATTAAAAAGACTCTGCAGAGGATGCCCGAATGTTTTTTTGTAAAGTAGAAGTAAAAAGTTGTTCAAGTTTAATTTGTTCACAAAGTGCCTTAACTTCAACTCTCGTTGGCCAAGGACAATTTGCTCACCTATGTTTTTTCAAGCAATTCAACAATAATTTTGGTGTCCCAAGGAATTAAAACTAAGATCATAATCTAGATGATCAGTCAAAATTAAGCATTGAGAACAACCACATATAAAGAACCAATAGGTAAGAAAAATAAGTCTTATGGATTAATTGATATACAAAAAATTAGTAAAAAAATATATACGTTAATTATATAAATTATGTGAATATTTTAGATATCCTTTAATTTACCTAGATTATCCTTCTCTAAATATATTTCGGTAGTATTTTTTAAATATATGACCTTGTGTATAACTAGTTGATTATATTGCATGGTCCATGTAAAAAAAGTTAAACCATGTCTTTCTAGTTAGTGACTAAGATAAAAAAAGAAGAAGAAGTGATTTTAAATTACTTAGATCATATATAAAATGGCAAATTATGAATCAATATAGAAGATAATTAATTTGTTATATTTATTAATACTAGATGAATACCCACGCTACGCGTGGGTTTGTTTTATAAATTGTTAATAACAAATTATTTTGATTGTTCTTGTTGCTAGTTAATCACCCGCTTTATGCCGCGATTTTTCCCGGTTTTTTTCTATTTTGATTTATTTGATGTTATATTTTGATAAATATAATTTTTAATTATCTAATCATTTACGCATACAATGAACAACTACTCTTAGTATTAAAATATATTTTCAACCAACATACTCAACAATGCATCACTCACACAATCCGTAAACAATCTTTCCTAAACCAATTTTATAGATGGTAATGTTGGGATTATAGAACCTCCAAAATTTGATGACCTTACGTACTCTTCACCCTCAGTGTCATATATAGATCAAAAAATTAAGAGAAAAACTTACTCAAACCATTAGCTAATTATCCACTCATATTTTGAGTTAAGATTACAAAAATTAGGAAAAAAAAACTTTGGAGTATATAAAACCAATAAAATAATTTCATGGAAAAAAACATAAAATAACAAAATAAGTTAGTATTAGTAAAAATCAATATGTAAAATTAAATAATATATTATTAAATAATAAATATATTATTAACTTGTGAAATAGATTTTCAAATTCATATGGGCCATCCCTCATGGGCTATTGTGTTTTCCCTATTTGACATTTATAATTAGAAGCTGATGTGTAAAAAATAAAAGCTGACTCATATTAATGAAATGTTTTGATTGGATGGAAAGAAAGCTGATGTGGCATCTCCAGAAGAGCCTAAAATGCTGACGTGGCGACCATATGGAGAGATATAGCCTCCTTTCATATATATGATTCTATGTTATTATTTTGTACTTAAAATGCTAAATTATGTTAATAAAATTTATATAAATATTTTAACACTATACAAATGTTTGATCCGCAACATTTGATATGTTTTCACCATTCAAACGTATTTTTTAAGCCGTCAGATCTGCTTGATCTGCAATAGTTTCGTTTGACTCCGTCTGATCCGTTTTCTCCATTCGAAGCATATATATCATTTGTGCGTAGTCTAATATAATTATTACGTCAAACTGGTCCAAGTTATTGATTTTACGTCAAAAATTGATATTCTCTATATTCATAATTGTCTGTAATAATGCAAAACAAGTAGATGACTCCAGTTTTTTTCTTTTCCTAAATTGATATAAAATGGATAAATTTTTTGTTGTTGTTGGAGTTCTAACTTTTATATCAATTTACGAAAAGAAAAAAACTGGAGTCATCTACTTGTTTTGCATTGTTACAGATAATTATAAATATAGAGAATAATGAACTTATTTTTTGTCTAGTTACTAAAAAATGTTTTTTGTCCAAAAAATTGGCCCCAAAAATAATAAAAATATAGCAAAAATTCAAGCTGGGACTTCCTCTACTTTTATCCATGACCAAATCTAGTTGTATTTCTAATTATTTTACAAATATGTGGAAAAAAAATGAAACGTTTGAGTGGTAAATATAAAATTTTAGTAGCTGTCAAGCAGAAAAATGATAAGAACTAGTAGTATTGGAAGCAGTACCCTAATTTTTTTCATATTGTCTACCGTTTTTTCTACCAGCTAAAAACTCTTATTGCTTTATACAGATCAATAAGACTCGAAACGTAAAATATGTCACTAAAAGGAATAGTAACTGCATATGTTATATTTTTATTGATCATCGTGATCTGATTACATATCAAAGGATGCTCTCAGATAATCTCACTATTTTCAAATATGTATTTTCGAAAAATAATTAAGACCATCAATCGGTCGATTTCATTACAAAAATAGATTCGTGCTCGAATCATGATCATAAGATCATTGCAATATATAATTTCTTTTCATACATACTAATTATTTCTTATACTTTGTTACTTTCGTTAGAAATGATCATGTATCACTCACTTCTTCTTGCCATTCTTAGGCTTCTCTCCTTCCTCAAGGAGCTCCTCCAAAACACTATCATCCAAATACTCAAATTCAAAAACTTGCCTAGAAGAAGAAGAAGCAGAGGCCGAGGAGGAGGAAGATCCAGCCATGGCGGTGGAAGAAGAGCCGCCAGTACTCCCCATGTTATACTCATGAGGGAAGTTTAGAATTGCGGACTGGCCTCTCATTGAGTAGGCGGCTTGGTCATAGGCTCTAGCCGCTTCTTCCGCGGTGTCGAACGTTCCAAGCCACACACGTTCACCGTGCTTCCTCGAATCTCGTATCTCCGCTGCGTATTTTCCCCAAGGCCGTCTCCGAACTCCCCGGTACTTTCCATGCTCGGCTCCGCCACCACGACCTCCTTGATCCATATATGTATGTGTTTATGTATATACGTGTTTTTTCGTGTGTCGGTGTGTGTATAGGCTTGAAAATGTTGAACAATGAACAAGGATTGTTCTTGCGCTTTGTGTTATCTCATAAACGTGTTTATGTGTTTTTCTGTTGCATGTGTTTGACGGGAAATTTATAGGCAGGGAAACAAATGTGGGTCCTAATTAGAAACCTAATATTCGGCCCTCGACACATATATAATGAAAAGAATATAACTCCATTGAGATCTTAATTTTTTCATAGGCAGTTGAAAATTCATCTTTTAGATCCTATTTAAATTCAAAGAAATTCTAAAGCTTCTGGATTCGTGGTCATGTTTACAGGTAACCACATTTGGTTTCTTTTGTAAGTAATTATTTACAATAATATATACAAGTAAATTGAGTATATACAAATTGTTTACAACCACATGTATATATTTCGGACTATTGCCGGGACAGGTTGGAGAAAATAACATAAGCTCGGGTCAGAATCGCTGAAAATTCACACAAAAAAAGTTCTTATATTTCGCTCTTGGATTTGGTGGCCAAATGAAAATAGAACAATAAACTAAACCCTTATAATTCATATTTAGGATTTGTTAGCAAAACTCGGATAATTCAGTTTTTCGGTTTAAAATTCGAACATAATTGGAAACCAAGTTACTATTTTGAAACTACCCGATTAGGTAATTTGGAAAAGCTGAATTGCTACCAATTTACTAATATCGTTTTGGTTCGAGGTTTTTGCTCAAGGGCTACATAGTACATACAATAATTGAAACGATGGTGATAGATTATTTTGTTTTTTTTTTTTTTTTTTTGTTAAAGGGCTTGATAGATTATTTTGTTATTTCTGCACTTATCTTTGAACAACACCTAAAGTATAATTTAATAAGTCTTTAGATCGTATTTCTTATGGATTTTTTTTTCTGTTTGGTTAATGTTACAGAAATGAAAATTTCTTACCAAAAATTTACGTTTCAATTGAATAAAGAGAAAACTATATAGTTCGTAATGGGCTCACAGGCAAGGCAATGTTGGAGAATATCTTTGACTTTGATTATGCGCACGTGTGTTGACTACAAAAGGTGGATTTTCATTTTTTCCTTGGACCAGAATAATTATTTTCTTATAAATTTGTTTCCTAAATCGGAGTTTATAAACTCTAGTTGTAGAAACAGGTAAACACACCTAATTATGGTTCGAGTGATGTTTGGAACAAAACTAATATTACATGTTGTGGTTTCGAATTTGGGAGGATTACGGGATTTGGCCCATAACCTTCTAGTATTCAAAAAAAAAAAACACACACACAAAATTAAAAGTAAAAGAAACACTAAAACATTCTAATATAAAAAAGCAATTGGACCCCTAACGTGTAAGGCACAAATTACCTGTATATTTAGAAATAAAAGAATTTTGCATTTTATTGGCTGCTTCGGCGTCCGAGTCGTGGATGAGGATGTCTTGTCCGGACATAGGCAACATGTTTTCTTTCTTTTGTTTTGTCGAAAAAAGAAAACAAATCTTTGAGATCCGATCCTTTTCATTATAATACAATGATTATAAGTGTTTGTTTGTAACTGAAAACTTTCACGTTGAAAACCAAGATAATATCAGAGAGTATATTTAAAAGTACCGATTATTAGTTTTTTACAAAACGTTTTGGTAGAATCGCATTTTCATATGTTGCAAGTTGAAACCAAGTGACGGTGTCTACTTTCACTTACCCTGAATGTTTTTTTAAGAGTTACGAACCTATTCATTACGATTTTAATCATTTTTGGCCATACAAAGGTACATCTGATTTATAAAAAAAAAAATCTTGGGAGACTAGTCTCGATTTCGATATGTGATTCTCCGGTTAATAAAAAAAACAAAATTTATAGACAGATTAAGCATTTCGTGCTGATATATTTTCTCTCATATATTCAAATAAATTCTCTTATTTTAATTTGGTCTACTCTGAGTTGTTATTGTTTTGGTCCAAAATGGGCAAATTAACCGAACCAAAACTTTTGGGGTTTCAAAACATAAGACTTTTTTTTTTATTGTTAGACTTTAATTTAGTCTATAGATTTTGGATACAAGTAAGGGTTTTTTTCTTTTCTTTTGCTCCTGGTATCGAAATTAAGTCATTAAATCTCAAGTCATGTTATTTTTTATTTTAAAAAATGACTGATGGCAGAGCTGAGACCATCTCTAATGTAAAATTTTCTTTTCTACTCTAAAATAGAGTAATTTTCAAATAGAATAGAGTTTTTCTCCAATGTATAGCTTTATTTTTTACTCTAAGATAGAATTAGTGTAAAAATATAGAGTTTCTCTAAATATAGAGCAATCCTCACTTTTACTCTATTTTAGAGTAAATATAGAGTAGAGTTGGAGAGAATTTTGTTCTATAATAGAGTTTAGAGAAAAAAAAAACAGAGTGTTGTTGGAGATGTTATGAAAAAACAAATCGTGGTGATATGTAAATATGTCAGAGAATCTAATTATTTTTATTGAACATAACATAAAGTTAGTACTAATAGCAATGGTGGATCTAGAACTATTTTTCTACCATGGGCACCATTAATTATTTATAAATGATGTGTAAATAAAATATATAATATAACATTGCTAAAAATGTTACATGTACTCATTTTCGTAGGTTGATTTTGAAGTTTATTTATAAGATTATAAGAATATTTAAACTATTTTGTATATAGTTTTGCTTACTGACATATAACCATTAAAAAAACTAAATTTAGGAAAATAAATACAATTAGTATTGGTGGTGAGAAACTGGGATTATAGTAAAAGAAACAAATTAAAAAGTTTTAATGAAAGGAAATAAGCATTTATTGCAAAATAAAAAATATTAATTACAAGAAGTAAAACAAACTAATACGAAAAAAGAAGATAGAAAATGAATCCGAGTTTATTTAGCCTAAGGCACTAGAAAGAATTTGTCTGATTTTTTATTTTTTTTTGAATACCAGGAGGTTCTAGGCCAAAGCCCGTAATCCCCCCAAGCCTGAAACTACAGCATGTAATATTAGTTTCGTCCCAAGCGTCACTTGAACCGGCGACCTCTAAACTTCGCCTAGGGTCTTTACCAGTTGAGCTAATGACACTCGGTGAATTTGTCTGATTTTACCATGTAACAATCTAATAATTATGACTATAAACATAAAAATTTCAATAGTAGTGTAGGGCACGTGTCTATCTAGGCTTGCACCTAGATCCGCCTCTGACTAGTAGTCGTACATACAAATGATTTGATCATATATATTGTGAAATTGACAGAATGCCGTTTCTCATGCATCATAAGGGGAGATGAATCTACAAAACCAAAAGAAACAAAAAGAGAAAATAAAATTAACATTCATTACGTTACGTGGATGAGATTGAACAAGAATCCGAATCTCTTTTGGTGAGTGTGTGTGACTATTGAGTGCTATCTTGAGATTGGGGTCACCAACATACATTGCAACTCTTATAGCAGTCTTCATTCACGAACCAAGACAAATATAATAACAATCAGAATCTAGCAAAATGTATAGCCGTCTTGGGTCCCGCATAGGTCGATTGGTAGTTTTTTAAAAATTAAAATCATACCTACAACTTTAAATACATGGTTGCCGCCTAAACACTTTAGAAATTTCTACATTCACTTTACTAGAAAACTATTAAAAATGTAAATTATATGGAAAATAATTTCAGGTCTTCTAAAAAACGTTTTTACAGCATCAAATTTGTACATTTACATATTTCTACCACCAAAAACATTTATTTTCAAAGACCGGATCAATTAATTGACACTAATTATCTTGTAAAATCAAAAAAAATTTAAACATTTTAGATATCTACAATATGAAAGAAAAGTATATTAGTTATAATTGTAGATAAAAACACAAAATATACAATTGGTCAAAGTTTATTATAAAATACTTTTTAAACGCAATAACAATTAATGTTCAATTTCGGATTTATACGATTCTAAATACCCGTTTTTGTGCACCCAACTTTTTTCTCTCTCTTTCAGTGTTCAAAACAAATTTTCTTACCTCTATAGAACTTCTTTCTATTAAAATTTTAATGTACCGAACTTATTTTCGCAAAACAAACAACTTTCATAATTGCCAACTAATATTATTGTAGTTCATATCTTATTAAACTTTTAAATATCTTTGAGGGTATTTTCCATTTGTATTTTTTCCTCCAAATCATGTAAGCAATTCGTTTTCAACAATATCCTCCCAAACCTTCTAAAAGCGCGTGACACACAAAATCAACATCATGTGCTTAGTCATGTTCATCCATTGTTGCTAGTTGCTATAGACTAGCTTTGTGCAGCTAAAATGGTTTTATTCCTCCTTCACTTGAGCTCATGCAATTTGCCATTTTAATAGTGATGGTCAATATATTGATGTAGGAGAAATTTAGGGAATTTACCTTTTCTTTTAATATTTACTTATTTCACGTTTTCTATTTTGTTTAGGGTTTTCTATTTTATGTTTTGGTTTTATATTCTATATATATAGAGATCCTAGGTTATTTACAGGACATGTTTTTTATTCTAATTAATAAGAACAGAGAGCTTTCTCTTTTCCTGGTGGATTCCAGACCCTTTTCTGGTGGATTCCAGAGTTTTATCATTAAGTTCGTCGCTAGCGAACTTGATTTCTATCTAGGCATAGTGTTTGCTATTCCTAGAGACTCCGACTGCATCAAGTGGTATCAGAGCAGCTTTCTCCTGTCTCTTTTTAAAGCTTGATAGGCCATGGGAGATCAACCGGTTACCAAAGCAGATTTCGAGGGTTTTGCGTCGACTATTACCACGACTCTTACCACGACTCTTACTGCTTTGACCAATCAGATGACGTTGTTGACAACCGAGATCAGAAACGGCAACAACAACACAAATCAACAAAGAGGCAGAAGAAAATCAACTAAAGATCTACAGAGCGGAATTGATTTTGAACATCAGATGCAGGTATTAATCAATAAGATTAAATATCAACAGAAAACTAGAG